AGACAAGATTAGAAACCAGTTGCTAACTAGTTATGCAATTTGGCCAATTATTAAAGCTTTTTAAGACTTAGCTTCTCAATTTAAAAAAATGAGGATAATAATATCTATATAGTTAGTTATCTAAAAGAAGGGAAAGACATTGAGTAAAGCAATCAGTGTGGTTTCTTGAAAATATTAAGCACTCAATAAATATTCTGATATCATTATTATGCAGCCTTGAAAACGTTATCAGTGATTTCTGGTGCCCAGTTAGCAGTAGCCATTGTATCGCTGTCAGTGGCCTCATTATACCTTGTTGGATTCACATGTGTCATGTTCACTCTGAATTAATACCTTAGCTGTGGGCTACTACAAATAGGAGAGCAAAACTAAGCAATGTAGTTTCAAGAGTAATCCAATTCACAAGCCACTTTACTTTCTATAAGGTCAAAGTCCATTAAAGAAGAATATAGTAGAGTTATCACCTTAGTGATATCAATAGGAAAGCAAACACACAGGGAAAATATCTCTTACTTGCCACTATAGAGGCATAATATTAGTCAACACACATCGTAGCAATATTAGTGTATCTGATTAATTTGTTATTACAACTGCAATCATGTGGTAAGTATAGAATGAGAAAAGGTTAAAGTAAAAATTTCAAGAGTATAAAATGGTAAAGAAAAAATACAAGCTATACAGGAGGCATCGTCAGGGTACTAAAGGGAGGGGAGAACAGGGATGTAATGGAAGAAGCATCTTAAGGACTCTGTCGTGCTAAAGAGCTTATCTTTAGCCTATGGGTAATGGAGAGACATCACAGACTTTAAGACGAGGTAAAATATTTTTTAATCTTTTATTTTATGTGCTGTTTCTACTTCATATCCAAATTTAGTAGATGTTACATAAGCCATTATTATGTTTCTTCAATTCCAATGTGTTTTTTATACACACATGCACACGTACACACACATATGTACACACATATGTGTGTGGATATATATATATATGTTTAAGATAGCTCTTTGTCAGTTACATCATCATTTAAAATGAATCCCATATTGTTTAATGCAGTGATATGTTAAAAATAGGGTTTATAGATGTTCCAAATAAAGACTTGACTACTTGTCTGCCATTTAGGAATTAAAATTTCTCTCTCCTTTCCTTCACTACACAGTTATTCAATATCTACTCTATAATGTATCATACATAATGCTAGACTCTTGATAAAACCTTAAAAGTGCATCCTATGTTAACTGTAGTATGTGTCTTCTGTTCCTATGGAAATTTAATAAAATGTTTTATCAACAGATCTATTTTTCCACACCACATTTTAAAATGATAGAAACTTTGGTATTTTCCTTTAAATGATTTCTTCTTTAAACTGTTCAAAAAAAAATGTTAAGCTAGTAAAAGCATTTTAAAAGAAATCTCAAGAGTCAGGTGAGTGTGAAGTGAACAGAATAAAGGAGGAAAACAGCCAAGTGAAGAGCTCTATAATAAAGCCTGTAGCATGAAGCACCTTCCAGAAACACAAGAAGGCTGGGTGCTACCAATATAATTCTCAAGAAACACTTACTGTAAGGATATTAAAGCATCAGAGTAGCTATTTCAAGAGTGGGTTCCTCTATCCCTACAAGTCAAAAAAAAAAAAATCATCACCTGTCATTCACGGGTGTTATTTATTTTTGTTTTCATCTTTTCTCTGGTTTTCTTTTTTTCTTATTGGGGAACTCTCTTCAGCACTTTTTAGATAAGTCAATTAATTTCTGTAGAGTAATCTAAGCTTAGAGAGTATTAAATGGGGAAATATAATGTACTGGTGGGCACTGGCTGAGGCTCACCAGGTTTGAGCTCCCTTCTCTAATGTCTTTTTCACACTGGGAAGCCAATGAAGCCTCTGGAGATCAGTTACCTGTTCTATTACATAAGGATGTGTTTGTGGAACTCTGAAAATTCTGGGCTTTTCTACTTAGATGAGAATAAGAAGAACTACTAAGGTGCTTAGGTTTTGTCAAAGCAACATAATAAGACTTTAAAAGCTCTTATTTCAGAATGGTGTGGATCGTTATTCTTGCACACCTCTGCTTGTTTCATTTTCATCTGTTTTGGATTGCTTTTTCCTTTGATGTGGCACAACAGGACTGGATTGCTCCCTGTTTATGAAGTGCATAGAAATGGGTGGCTTTCTTTGGGACAAACTCTTGCCCTTGAAGCTCATTTACTTTGACATCTTCTGTTGCCTCTTCTGGTCAGAATATTAAGACTTCAAAGACTACAAAGTGGGCTCTACAATTTATTTTATGAAGAAGACTCTTCCTTCTCTCATTCTTTAAAAAAAATAATTTATTTTTTAATTACCGCTGACATACAATATTATATTAGTTTCAGGTACACAACACAGTGAATAGACATTTATATAACGTACAAAGTAATCACCCAATAAATCTAGTACCAATCTGACACCATACATAATTATTACAACATGATTAACTATATTCCTTATACTATACTTTACATCTCAATGACTATTTTGTAACTACCAATCTGTACTTTTCAATCCCTTCTCCCTTTTCACCGATTCCTCCACCACCCTGGCCTTGCACCTGGCAACCATCAAAATGTTCTTTCTACCTACGAGTTTATTTGTTTTGTTTGTTCATTTATTTTGTTCTTTAGATTCCACATGTAACTGAAATCATATAGCATTTGTCCTTCACTGTCTGACTTACTCCATCTAACACAATACCCTCTAGGTCTACCCATATTGTTGCAGAGGGCAAGATTTCCTTCTTTTTTATGTCTGAGTAATATTCTATTGGTTATGTATCACCTCTTATCTATTCATCTATTGATGGACACCCAGGGTGCCTCCATATCTTGGCTACTGTAAATAATGCTGTAGTGAACGTATGGATGCACATGTCCCTTCAAGGTAGTATTTAGGATTTCTTCAAATAAATACCCAGAGGTGGGATTACTGGGTCCTTCTTTGTTTCTTGTTTTAAGCTTTGTTTTAAAGTCTATTTTGTCTGGTATAAATATTGCTACCCCAATTTTTGGTTTTTTGTTTTTTCTTTTTTTTTTTTCTTCATTTATTTATTGAGCCATTCCTGGGTGGGGTAGATACAGAGGTGGATATGGCAAGGTCCTTAACTCAGGAAAATGACAATGTAGGAGGAAAGGCTAACATTATAAATATCTCAACAGCAAGAATTTTAACAAGGTAATGTCATGACAATCAGAACTTATCATTCTAACCACAATCTATGAATTAAACATCTGGTGTTTTTCCAGGTAAAATATGAAGCTATATTTATCATCTTCTGTTGACTTTTTAGACGCTCTCCTGGAGCACCTACTCAGAGGTCAACAACTAGCACTACTTTAGGTGCTGAGGATCAGGGTTTCTGATAAATGTGATTATTAGTTTCTACAATCTTGTAGTTATTGAAAGTGCTGGATTTATTCCAAGAGGTATTTGGTTAGTTGGCTCAGAGCCAATGCATATTTTTTTCCTCTTGTGTTTACTCCTTACCTGAATGTCTCTGACTCCAGCTACTGTGGTTCCCTTGATTTTGACAAAGTTGTTTATTGACTATATATTGGTAGGGCTTACTTCCCTTCCTACTCACCACACATCTAGCTCATCTCCTGGTCTTCATGATGTATGTCTCATATCTACTGCAAACATAGCAAGACTATTACACCTCTCAGCATATGTGGTTTTCACAAATAATTGCTTGCTTTTTCAAGCGTTGAGTCAAAGAGTAAGTAAAAATTGACATGCCTGAAACTTATTTTTAAATAGCAAATCATAACTGTTCCACACTGTCCAAAGTATCACTGTCAACATATAAATAGCATACCTCTACTAAAAGATCTGGCTAGGAAAATGCAAATTACAAAACTGAAATTGCTGAATTTCTTCATTATATATTAATAATTAACGATCAGATTGCTGTCAACTCTTTTCAGAATTTCTAAAATGCATTGTTGATATCTGGCTTTTCAGCAGCAATCTCAAATGAACAATTTTTTAAATTTTTGAATAATCATTTTCATTTATGTATTAAATTACAGCAACTACACTTGCTTTTAAATTTCTGGAATGTTATTTTTCTAAAAAAAACAACTGCAAAAAACACATCTGATTAAAAATATAAGTGACTTGTATTTATACTCTCTGCACATGACTTTGCAACAGCACTTATTAAATTTCCATAAATATGGGCCTAATATAATTCTTTTAATTCATATATTATTTTATTTCTCAAATAACAGTCAAGGATCCTAAAATGGTTGCTTCTTGTTCATATTATTTGCTTATATTATAGTGGCATTTGTCATCAAGTACCACAGTTACCTGTACACATGTCCATTTTTCTGGTTTAAAGGGAAGTAACTTGAAGGTAAGCGTCCTGATCCATGGAAGGCATAAAATAAAACCAGGGATCTCACATTATCACAACTCCTTTTTTCACAGTGATCATAAGAGCATCAAATGGAAAAATACCAAAATCTGTGTCTCTGATACTACTCACCCTTAACTATCTCCAGAGAAAGAGATGAAACTTAAAACATCCTCAAACTTATAGTACAGTATCCTTACTGACAGGGTTAATGGTCAGATAAAAGATAATGCAATGTTCACTGCTGGTTGCAAAATTATGCAACGTATTAACAGATCTGAACTAGACGAGAGTTCTAAATGGAGGCACTGAGGCAAATTTATGCAATGGAAATCTGAAGGGCTGCAAAGAGGAAACAAAGAACTATGACAATTTGGCAAGCACTGGAAAAGCTAGGCAACATTAATTAATAGTGAGGAACCAAAAACAAGATGTGTAGACTGACAATGAGGAGATCTGAAATTCTCAATTATTCTTCGTAATGTGAGACCACAAAAAAAATGTAAAAGTGGTTTTAAATGAAGCTCATGTGATGATGCTGAGGCTGCCACATTGTCTGGATTGGTTTGTATCTGTGTGTCCGCATAGAAATGGGGTGCTTTTCCTTACCTCCAGATGCTCTAAAATATAGGGAGGATTTGTCATGCCAAGCCTCAGCATTGCTCCCTCAGGAATCACGTCAACCAGTTTCCACAGTAGTGTGGGGAGATCGGTGCCAATATCTCTGCCATAAGCCCCTGTGTCTTCACTGGTCAACCATATCTCACAAACACCCTCTGTGAATCAAAGGAGATAATTAACAAATCTGTTGCAGAGCTGTTTCCTTCATCATACAGCTGCTCACTCTTTTTAATGCAGTATTTCTCAACATTATTATGCAGGCAGTCTGGGTATTCAATTGAAGGGGGGAGAAAAAGCAGCTTATCCCATGGTGGCACTGGGTTATTAAGTTCATTTTATGAACACCAGAGAGTTATAACAATGCTGTAAATTATCAGCGCATCCTATGGAGTGATTAACATTCACAGCCAATCAGTTAAACCATGCTTCCTCCAAAGCACTTTGATCAAGACTAAAGCTTCTGTCCCATCACAGAGAATACCTATTTTATTGAACACCATAACTGAAGAGTCATTCTCAGAATAGGTAATATCAGCAGTTAACTCACTAATAAACCCAAGGAAAAATGTCAAGTGTAGCTAAGGCTTAACTCACAAATTATTAATTACGAGGTATCCATTTCTCCTGTAGTAACAGGAGAAATTTTGTCTTCTTTATTCAATTAAGAATAGAGTACACCATATGGCTGCATTCAAAGTAGTTAGTCGCTGTATAAACTAAGTATTTGTGTTGGAATATCTGCTTACTGACAGCATCCTATTTTCCATCAATCAGACCTTCAAAAACGGATCTATGTTTTGGTGCTATGGTTGTTATAAAGAATCCTGACTTCAAATATTATAGCCTACAACGACTTCCTTCCAAAAATCAAAAGAAAATACTTTTGAATAACCTAGAATTATTTAAAATGAATAAAACAGAGTTAGGAGGATCCACCTAGGTTTGCAATGGCACACAGAACCTTTCTGAATGCATACTCAGTTAAAGAATCCGCCTATTTTAAAAGGCCAATGGTTCACAAGGCTCAACAAATAATAAAATGGGCTAGTGAAATTTGTTCATGATAAAGTGATGTGTTGCTTCTAAAGAACCTCAACACACACACACACACACACACACACACACACACACACACACACGGCATACAAAGAAAGACTGCAGACTGAATCAGAAGTATAATTTTCTAGAAAGAGTCTTAAAATTATAATTTTAAATTGTCTTTAGTTGACAGAACAGAAGAATTTTAAAAATACATTTAAATATTCCTAGCCAAGAGAGACAACAAATAAAACACATGGCTTTTATGTGAATGTGAACTTAAAATTTACAGAATACAAAAATCATAAAGATTTTCACTCTCCTTAATGTGTTCCACAGAAGTAGAAAAATATACATGAAGATCTCTAATCATTATTTCTTGTAGAATACAAGATGTATTTACTTTATCAAAAAACTAGCCAACCTACACAAAAACATGTTCACTTTCCCCCATTTGTCTATCTTTTTGAGACATGCACATCCTCATCCACGCCCACACAACATAGAAAATACAAGGATAGAAATAGGATTTTAGTTTCCCGAAATTAATGGCTTAGCACAGAAACAGGAAATATCAAAAAAAGCTCCATTTAAAAAGTTGGAGATGTCTCTGTTATTTGAAAATCAGTAGGGTTTTCTTAAATTAAATATGTAATTCCAGAAATTAATAAATCGTTGCTTAGTTTTAATCATTTAATAAGAAAAATTTATCCTTAAAAGAAATAGTCTGGCATGTTTACAGTCTCTGTTTATAGTCTTATAATTTTATAAATATTCTCTGTATATGGAGTAAATTTTGTTTTATTTAAAAAATGAGTTACAATTATTGACATCATTATTTTAATATTACATATGTCATTAGACACTGGACTCATACAACTTTTTTTTTTTAAATCTTATCACAAAATCCACTCCAGGAAAAGAGATGGCTAAGTAACAACATAAACAGATTTTAAAACACTCTGAAAAAGGTTATAAAAACAGGACATTATCCATAATTTTCCAGTTACTGGCATTTGAGCAACACAATATGAATATTTTAAAATGAACAGAATAATTTTAATTTATAATTTTTCCATCCAAATGGTTCCATGCTACGCCTTATGTAGAAAGAGTGAGTTCCTGGAACAGTGCCTCGCTGTTGCTAGACTAATATAGAAGGGGAAAAATCACTTTGAATAGGAATGGAAATAACATCCATGCAGAAACAGCAGCAGCCAGCTCTTAAAGCTGCATAGGTGGGGACCAATAGCCCCCTGGTGGGCTGAAACTTCAAATTAAATCACATAAAGAGGAAGCAGCTGTAACACTAAATCAGCAACAACAGGAATAATGGTCTTGATGTCTCCAAGATCAAGGCTGCTAAAGTGCTCTATATAATAGCAACCTGGCTTAAAACACAATGAAATGAGAAAACATGTGCAAAATGTGAAACCCCTGGACTTCAGGAGAAATGCGACTGGCCAATTCAATCCAAAAATTTGTCTAAGATGGTTCTGCTCTTAATCAATGTGAGAAAGTTCAGATTCTGTAAGGTTCCGTTTCAAGCATGAATTCTAATGAGAGCTGATCCCTTGAATAGTTAGGATATGGAAACTCATTTCATACTAAAGGTGAAGCTAAATATGGAATCTCCATGCCTGACATCCTTTTCCCTGGGAAGTCTTGTGATTACTCATAGTGCAAGCAGTTCCTGTCAGGTCAGCTTGCATATGAGTTCACCAGGGAAACTGAAGGCTGCGGTCTATAATCACTAATGGATATTGAGACACATGCATGCTTCTATCTGCACACTTAATTGGCTATACTTATGGACAGAAATGCTTGCCTAAACAGCTTCATTCCTTAAGGACCTCAGTTATGAGCTATATTCCTTTGCACATTCATTTCTTTATTCGTCCATCAAACATTTATTAGGCCGTTACCTACTATGTGCCCTGCAGCGACTCCAGCTCATATCAGATATGGATTCATCATTAAACTTCTGTGATCTAAGATGGGCTATCATCCAGGAGCTGGCAAGGGGACAATGAGAGACATCCTGGGAACTTCACACACATCCCTATCGATGGTGATAAAGGGGGGTGGGTATTGAAGAATACGGCCTTAGAAACCAAGTGAAGAATGAACTGGGCTGGTTGAAAGTGTATATGATATCAGCCCCTATGAGACAGGCCCAATCTGCACTATAATGTGGACTTTGATTAATACATGTCATAAAAACAAACACATGAAAATGAAAAAGAGAAGCAAGCAGGAAGAACTGAGATAAGAGAAGTGAATGTCCAGAAAAACTCCCATGCCTGTAAAAATAAGTACATGTTAAAAAAAAAAAAAAAAGTAGTGGATTCAGAAAAGTGGGAGACAAAAATTAGCTTTTCTAAGCATCCAAGGTGAAATTTTACTTTTCCTAAAATTGTTCATCTACCTGACTTTTGTTCATTTTCCTTAAATTGTTCAGTCTATCTGACTTTTCTAATGAACATTAGGTTCATCAGATCATCTATCCTTTTGTTGTGTAAATTTTGGTAAAAAAAAAAAAAAGCAAATATTAGTTAGGGAGAAATAAAATGTATCTTACAAAGGAAAACCCTTTAAAAAAGTTTAGTTATTAGAATATATTATCATTTTACCCAAGTAATTACAGATCAGCCTATAGTTGAAACATGGTTATTTTTCCATAAATAGAGAGCAACCTCAACAACTAGATTCTGATCTTTGCATCATAGTAATTTGAGATGACAAAGGATGGAAAAAGTAGAAGACATAAAGGTTAATAATAAAAGATAATATTCTCAATAAAATAGTCTCACAACAAAGAATATCTTTCTTGAAAAATCAAACATTGCCAAAACTCAATTTCAAAAATTTGACTCAGTATAATTTTCCTATGTATGAGCTCCATTGTAATAAATTAAAATATGGCTAAAGACTGATTTCATCTAGTCAGAGAAGTGATATTTCTCTAGAAGCTCTCGTTTTATCACAGGGGAAATTTCCACCATTATAAGTTGTTTCAATTATTTCATTATGAGTAGTTTATAGAAATAAGGATTACAAAAATACAAAAATTGTAAACTATGTTTAATGGAATAGCTAAAGAGCACTAGATGGCAAGAAAATCTACACCAACTAAGCAAAGAAAATCACCTCAAAGTCTGCTAAATCGTTCAGATGTGTGCTCTCCCCTTCTGTTTTCTGCTCTTCATTACTCCCCTTGCCTTTCCTCCTCTCAATTCCATCCTCTATTCTCTCTCCACCATCTCATTTGAGCCTTCATGCTTCATTTTCTTCAATAGTCAATAAGAAATATAAATTAAACATACATTATGCTATATTTATTTAATATGCATTAAATTCTCTGCTCTTAATTTCCAATAGTCTTTTGTTAAGGATCACAGTGCATATTAACTAGATTTCTACAGACTCTTTCTTCTTAAAAAAATAATCTTAGAAAAATTCAGAAATAAAGATGGCCCTCTGTTTAAACATTTGAAAGGTCATGGAAATTTATTTAATGGAGATGTTTCTAAGTAATAATATACTTAGGCAGCCTTCTATGTATTTTGCCTATTCATTTAATAGCAAAATTAGACAATATAACTCTCTTGGTCCCTTCTAATCTTATTATTGGACACTCAAGGTTTTTGTTTTCTTGTTAGATATAAAGGACTTAAATGACAACTTTACTAAAGATAGCATTCTAAGAGGACCAACTAAGGTTACCTTTTATATAACAATTATATATCACTGATAAAAACCCAATTAATAGGTCACCACAGAAGACAATTATTAACTAATTCTTCAATTTTATGTTTATACTACTTTTACAAATTTTAGTGACTTTAAGGTTTTTTCTCTAACATTTTCTTTTGAACAATGTTAAATTTATAGGAAAGTTTCAAGCATACTACAATGAATACATGTCCCTCCTTCACTCAGACTCATGTATACCATTTTGTCACATCAGTTAGCACTTTCTCTACACCCACAAACATATTTTTTCCTTTTTTTGCACCATTTGAAAATTAGTTGCAGACATGATAGCACTTTTAACCTAAATAAATCAACATACATATACCTTCTAAGATCAAGAACATTCTTGCTCATAATCACA